TTACCACCGAGGCGAGACAAAGAAAGGGCTGGAGATCAACCAGCGGCAACAGCCACCCAAGACAGCTCCTCCGGGTTTTGTCCACAATAAACCCTCCTACGGGTGGATTCCAGAATTGTGCTCTTCTTATTGTGTTCTTCCTTGGGGATTTCAACAGGGCGTAATTCGACGGTGACACACCTCAGACGTCATCGTTATAACACTAGCGACGCTGAACTCGTCGTTTTAGCACTGGCGACGCAGGTGAGATTGTTCCCCTGGATGTTACAATGATAGGTAACGCACATTTCAACATGTGCATTTCTGCGGAACAATTCTGTTCTACGAAAGTGTCGTGATCCCACTAGCCATCACACGGCGTTGGAGCCTTTACATAATTGGCGACACTGCCAGTTGTCACCCCTACAACTTGGCGTCGGAGAACTCACCATTTCTATCATCATGAAAAAATGGCTGAATATCCTGCAGCACATTACAAGCATGGGTGACATCCATTCCACCATGCGCTAGCCTTTTTGCAGAGACAAGCGCAAGCCAGCAGTCGATTAATGTGTGGTCACTCCGGAAGAAGCCCTGCTTAAAATAAACGAAAAGGTGACCTATGTCTTTTGTGAAAATCAGGGCGAAAATATGATTATCTCTCGTTGGAGAGCAGACCAACTGACACCAGTTGGGAAAATTAATGATATGTAAGAAGGGCTGAAATCTGGATGGAAAATATTTCGAAAGCCAATCCATTTAGGGAAAATTGAAATCTCGAGCGACAATTTTAGCGTCGAAAAGTGTCTCCGAAATCAGCCTAAATATTTCGCAAAGCTTCCCATCCTCTTCGGATGATGATTAAGGGGGACTATAGATGCATCCGAGAATTGTCTTCTGTCGGGGTGACAGGATAATAGATGCAAAATAGTAATTGCTGGAGAATGACGCGGCGTCAAGATCGAACGGAAATCCTAGAAAATTGCTTACATATATGTTTATTTTGCCAGTTTACAGGCAATTGTGTTAAATGGTAAAACACCTCCTGGGCGCCTTCCAAAACCTTGAAGACAGGAAAAATATCTCAAACAAACTCCCTCAATTTGCAGTCAGTATTTTTTTTATTTCAATTTTGTGTTTGGTCGAGATTGGGCGAATAGGGATTTTGTTTCAAGTGAAAAAACCCGACTTCAGCAGTACGATACAAACGGAATGTATGTGTAGTTATAAACTGAGTAGAGGGATTAGCAGAAGAAAAGCTGCAGATCGTTAAGGGACATTAGTTCGGGACGGGGAAGATTGGTACAGGAACG